TGGTCCTAACATTAGGGGCAAATAAGGGGCCCGCAAGGGCATTTTTCTAGTTTCCAGACAATAACTTGTGGAACGGTGTATGGATCTCTCTGAAATTATACCACAAGTTTCCATACCACAAAGGGATGGTTAGGATTTGCTTTGGGGGGTTATGGCTCAAACCGTTAAGGAATTAGGGGCAAAAAAGGGGGAAAACAAGAGTGTCCTAGTTAATGGACAACAACTTTAGTACAAAACATAATTTAAAGCAGTGTAAGGAGGTAATTCAAACTCATCATTTGAATTACCTCCCTAACACTGCTTTAAATCATTTTTGCCCCAACGTTCAATGTTGGACCTCTGCGGTCGTATCCAGCTGCGCTCGGCGAAGCAATTTATATTCAACTATAAGTAATAGATGAACTATATTTGTTGTATGGAAGGATTGTAAGGTGTATATGTCTGTCTGGCAGGTATCATCTGACCTTGACCTCATTTTCATGGTTCATTGGTCAATGTTAAGTTTTCATGGTTAAGTTTGTTTTTTAGATTCTATAAGCAATGGGTCAACTATATTTAATGCATAAATTGATTGTAAGTGTACATGTCTTTCTGGTATGGTTCATCTGACCTTGACCTCATTTTCATGGTTCATTGGTCAATGTTCAGTTTTCTCGGTTAAGACTGTTTCTTAGAAACTATAAGCAATAGGTCAACTATGTTTGGTTTATTGAATGATTGTAAGGTGTACATGCATTTCTCGTTTGGTTTATCTGACCTTGACCTCATTTTCTTGGATCATGTGAAGTTTATGTGTTACTTGCAGTAAAGCTTTATATTTAGGACTATCAACATAAAATCAATGGTTAGTAAAGAAGGCGTGTGCACTCTTGTTTGTGTAGTTAAGGTAACCAATACATAGTATGGACCTTCAAATGTACAGAAGAGGCCTTAAACTGTGGTTATGATATGATTGTTGACTCTCTGTGGAGTGCACGGACTTGAATGTAGAAGAATTTAAAATTTCATTCTTAAGAACTTCCGTGTAGTATTTACGGCATACCACCACCAATTTGTTGGCTGCTTTGTCGGCCGGTACAAACACAAACCGCTTTGCGATTACTTGAAGTTTGTTTCTTATTTTAGAAATAGGCGTATAATGTACTCTTATTTCTTAATTATTTTCAAAATTAGAATTCGAATATCCACAATATTCATACATTTCTAGATAATGGTCCAGCGACTGAATTCATAAATCATGTTGCTGTCCATCAGATTGTCTTTTTCTGAATTTTATGCCGACAGGCGAGACACATCTCCGTGTCAACAGTTTATTTTGTATGTATACGAAATAATAAGTGGTTCTGTGTTATCAAAATAGGGAGGTATAAAGGTTTGAATGGTAGAGTCATTGATTAATTCGATAAGTTGATGAAATCAGCACCTCTGTTAATATATTTTAATTTTAAGAAAATGCCGTTTACATGTATGATCTTCAGGTTTATCGGTAGGCGAGCACAGCTTATGGTGGCAAAAAGCCGTCATTATACGCGAATATTCATAGAGTGGGCTGAAGAACGAAATTGGTGACCATGGATCCGCCTATGACTTTTATAGTGTCCCCCTTACGGTATCTACGTTTATAGTGCCCCCCTTACGGTATCTACTTTTGTAGTGTCACCCTTATGGTATCTACTTTTATAGTGTCCCCCTTACGGTATCTACTTTTATAGTGTCCCCCTTACGGTGTCTACTTTTATAGTGTCCCCCTTACGGTATCTACTTTTATAGTGCCCCCCTTACGGTTTCTACTTTTGTAGTATCCCCCTTATGGTATCTTCTTTTATAGTGTCCCCCTTACGGTATCTACTTTTATATTGCCCTTTGTTATCTACATTTATATTGCCCTTTGTTATCTACATTTATATTGCCCTTTGTTATCTACATTTATATTGCGCTTTGTTATCTTCATTTATATTGCCCTTTGTTATCTACATTTATATTGCGCTTTGTTATCTTCATTTATATTGCCCTTTGTTATCTACATTTATATTGCGCTTTGTTATCTTCATTTATATTACCCTTTGTTATCTACATTTATATTGCGCTTTGTTATCTTCATTTATATTGCCCTTTTTATCTACATTTATATTGTGCTTTGTTATCTTCATTTATATTGCCCTTTGTTATCTACATTTATATTGCCCTTTGTTATCTACATTTATATTGTCCCTTGTTATTTTCTTTTGTATTGCCCTCTTGGTATAGACTTTTATTTTGTTCCTTGGTATCTATTTTTTTTGCTCCTTTGTATCTACTTTTACTTTGCTCCTTGGTATCTAATTTTATATTGAACCCTTGCTATCTAATTTTATATTGAGCCCTGGCATCTACTTTTATATTACCCCCTTGTTATCAACTTTTATATTACCCCCTTGATATCTACTTTTATATTACCCCCTTGATATCTACTTTTATATTGCACCCTTGATATCTACTTTTATATTACCCCCTTGTTATCAACTTTTATATTACCCCCTTGATATCTACTTTTATATTACCCCCTTGATATCTACTTTTATATTGCACCCTTGATATCTACTTTTATATTACCCCCTTGTTATCTACTTTTATATTACCCCTTGATATCTACTTTTATATTACCCCCTTGATATCTACTTTTATATTACACCCTTGATATCTACTTTTATATTACCCCCTTGTTATCTACTTTTATATTACCCCCTTGTTATCTACTTTTATATTACCCCCTTGATATCTACTTTTATATTGCCCCCTTGATATCTTCTTTTATATTACCCTCTTGATATCTACTTTTATATTACCCCTTGATATCTACTTTTATATTGCCCCCTTGGTTTCTACATTTATATTGCCCCCTTGGTATCTACTTTTATATCCCTCCTGTCCTTGATATCTACTTTTATATCCCCCTTTCCTTTAATTGTATCTACTTTTATATCCCCCTTTCCTTTAATTGTATCTACTTTTATATCCTCCTTTCCTTGATTGTATCTACTTTTATATCCCCTTCATTGGTATCTACTTTTATATTGAGCTCTTGCTATCTAATTTTATATTTCCCCCTTGATATCTATTTTTATATTGAGCCCTTGCTATCTAATTTTACATTGAACCTTTACTATCTACTTTTATATTGCCCCCTTGTTATCTACTTTTATATCCCTCCTGTCCTTGGTATCTACTTTTTTACCCCCTTGCCTTTAATTGTATCTACTTTTCTCTAATTCCTACCCGATTTATCCTTTTCCTGATATGTTGATTATTTTTATTTAATCAACGTGTGGTTCGTTTGATCGCAGATATTCAATTTGATCAAAATTCGATTATGAAGTCAAATTTTCTTGCTTTCCTCTGAATTTCCTAAGTCACATAGAAAGAACACATCTTTTTGCAGATATTTTGAAAAAAGGAATAAGTTTGCCTGCATATTGTATAAAAATCATTAGAGAAAGAGATTCCACCACCAAATATCGTGTAATACGATATTTATCTACTCTCGACAGTTAAATTTTAGATATTTAAAACGCTCGGCAAGCCTCGCGTTTTAAATTTGAAAATTTAACTGTCTCCAGTGGATAAATATCGTATCACACTCGATGCAGTGGTTAATAGAATTGAGAATGGAAATGGGGAATGTGTCAAAGAGACCAAATCTGTATTTATACCCCCTTAGCCTTTCTTCGGTATCTACTTTTATATCCCCCTTCATTGGTATCTACTTTTATACTCGAGCGGTGCCTTTGTAATGTTCCCCATCCCTATCGTATAGTTTCATGTGTTTCAATTACATGGCGACTTTGAGCTTATGTCAGTACTTGACATCCATCGATGTTCATTGATATTTTATTCTATTGGCAAATTTTGATCACTTTTTATGGTACTTATTTATGAATTATTACTCTTCGTGAAATTATTCGTTTTTCCGACTCGTTGGAAAATCCTGACTTACATAGAAAGGTAATTCAGACTTGATATTTTACAATTGTATTTTTAAACACTCATAAGCATAATTCGAAAATCTAATGAGAATAATGATCAGTATATGAAAATACCGACAGAGTCTTCATTTCATGTTAATTATTAGACATATAGAACGTTAACATTAGAATATAGATTGATCCCAATGGCAAATAACATCTTCATTTTCTTCACTCAAATTATTTGCCAATCCCAAAACCTAATTCGGCAGGGATAATGATTTTTTTCGATTATCTTCTTCACTTCAAACCATTTAGCCAACCCTTAAAACTTCAGAATGAACAAATTAACAATTAATGCACAAGTACAATCCAACTGAATACGGTGGGTAATTAACAATCAATGCACAAGTACAATCCAACTGAATACGGTGGGTAATTAACAATCAATGCACAAGTACAATCCAACTGGATACGGTGGGTAATTAACAATCAATGCACAAGTACAATCCAACTGAATACGGTGGGTAATTAACAATCAATGCACAAGTTCAATCCAACTGAATACGGTGGGTAATTAACGATCAATGCACAAGTACAATCCAACTGAATACGGTGGGTAATTAGGACTGTCACTGGAAAATGAATGGTCCTTGTTGGAATGGGAGAAGACATTTTGGTTTGCAACAGGTCATCTATGGACCCCTCAGAGGGTCAAGTGGTCTTTAACACGAAGAGAGCATGGTACTCACTCTTCACGGGGCATCAATTTAACGTCCCCTTTCCGACGGGGTGTTGCCACGTATCCCGCTACATTTTGAGAGAGTATAATATTAATATATAGACTCTTTAATATTTAATCTCCAATAGGATTTGACAACTTTTAGACCCTATGAGGATCTATGAGTGAAGCGGATACTGGAAACACGTCTCTGTATAAACGATGATACGTGTAATTATGTAACTGTTGTATAAATACAGGTAATTTATGGTGCAATGACAACAATAAACTCTATTTTAGTACATTGTTTAATTTTTTGTTTTGTTTAATGTTTTCAGAACGACATAGAGAGAAAAATGTTCCCAGAAGACGATCTGTAAGTATTAAGTGTTCATATGTCAATCAATTGTTTTACAAAGACCCATTATCAAATTTAAACTTTATTTATATAGACTTTTTAAGTAGAAATGCATAGATTGTCTCATGGATTATAAAACTTGATTAACTTAAAATGTATTTCTAAATAATCATAAACTAATCATAAAATTTACTGTACTTCGTGTCAGTTAAATACTTGTTTTACTTTTCATTTCACTCCATAATTTGATTTTTGGTGTTTTAACGCCACTTTTAAGCACCGCTTTTGGGCTATTTCGTGGCGGCCAGTTTTTATTGGTGGAGGAAGCCAGAGTGCCCGGAGAAAACCACCGACATTCGATAGGAAAACTGACAATCCTAGTCAATTAAGATTGGAGTCGAGTGCACCCCCACTAGCGGAGTTCGAACTCACAACCTCAGTGTTGACTGGCTAGTGATTACAGTAGTAACTACTTAGACCACTCGGCCACCGAGGCCCCATAATTACATGAATTAGATGTCTAAGAGTATAAACTGTGCGTCTTTGTTTATGTTAATGTGTACCAGCACTATGTGTTCATTTACATCTACATGTATGTAATACAATATCAAACATGTGGTAAAAATAAATACTTCCTAACATGCATATTAAATATACTTTCAAGGAAGAATCCGTTTCTAAACAGTAAAAGAAACTTCGACGGTTGGATGTGTGAATCTTTATTCGTTTTATTTTTTAACAAAGTGGATTAAAATCCACAAGATAGTCTTTAACGTTTTTTTTAACAAAGTGGATTAGAATCCACAAGATCACCTTTAACGTTTTATGACAGTGATGATTCGCAGGCACGTGTATTTTTTGTAAAACTCTCCTTAGTTTGTGACTAGGATATTCAATAGAGGGTTATAAAGCTCTGACATTGACAACCACCTTTCTCAACCTATCATACTGAAATGTGTTGATCACACTTTCTAAATTTCCTAGAATATATGTTTGGTCCTTTATATCCCCTGTATTAAACATTATTTAGGGGGCGACCATTTGATAATCTGGGAAAGAGGGGGGAATAAGATATTTGGCGGTTTGACTAATCATTTTCATCTGTTGCTACATATGCTTATTTTTTCCGCGAAAATTTATTTTCGCTTTTATACACAAGTGTTTCCTGCATTTTGTGTTGCAGAATATTCATTTTCATCCTATCTTATGCAAGGTTATTTATTTTTAGCTCTTACCAGGCCAGGATATTCATTTTCAACCCCCGTGTCCCCACCCCCCGAACATCAAATGGTCTTTCCCATATTTTGCCGAGTATTAAACACTTGTTATATTGGTCGTTGGATGTGTGGAAAACTTTAAACTTTTGGTATTTGAAGTTTAGTATTATAAGATTTACTGTCAAAGTAAGACAATATATTACATTAGCAAGTTCATGCTTAAAATGATGTAAACAATGAAACAATAGTACGATATAGTCCATCGTTATAGGGAGGTTCTATGATTCCTTTAGTTATGCTATCATTCTGTGTATTTCCGGACCTAAATACCCACATACTACTACATTCCCCCTATTTCTATTTATGAAGACTCCGTGTATCAAGGGGTTCCTTTCAAGATCTACCCAATACGATGGAAATATTAAAAAAACTTATTAACATTTATATGCACACATCATACCGTTCCATGCACAAACATATGATAATGATAACCCTTCCCCTGTCATTGTAAATAAGTCTCATGTTTAAAAGAATGATACACTCGTCTCAGGTTCTTCTATGCTACAGGCAGCCCTAACTGGCCAGCATCAGGGTTTACCATTTCCTTTCGAAGTTGACTGTAACAACTGTCAAACAGATAACATTCTCCTTCTTTCCCTTGAAACAGTCTACAGTTTCTTTAACGGAATCCATCCAACGATCGTGGACTCGGATGTTCAACTCGTCTAGAGCCCTTCTAGGCTACGAGTAGCCAGGAAAGACGCTTATCAGATTTCACCCAGAACCTTTCATATAAATGGTAAAATCTGTCAAACATTTTCAATTCAAACCCCTTCCCCTTTCACCAAAAATTTACCCATATAAAAAAAGGAAGATGTGATATGATTATCGATATGTTATGATCGTATCGTTTATCTTCACTTCTTTTTATGCGACCGCAAAAAAATTTCGTGGTCGTATATTGGGATCACGTCGTCGTCGTCGTCGTCCGAAGACAGTTGGTTTCCGGACAATAACTTTAGTATAAGTTAATAGAAATCTATGAAATTTAAACACAAGGTTTATAACCACAAAAGGAACGTTGGGATTGATTTTGGGGGTTATGGTCCTAACAGTTTAGGAATTAGGGGCCAACAAGAGGCCCACAAGGGCATTTTTCTAGTTTCCAGACAATTACTTGTGTTTAAGTGTATATGGATCTCTCTGAAATTATACCACACGTTTCCATACCACAAAGGGGTGGTTAGGATTTGCTTTGGGGGGTTATGACTCAAACCGTTTAGGAATTAGGGGCAAAAATATTTATTCACATATTTGAGGATTTTTTTTTTTTTGGGGGGGGGGGAGGGGGGTTCAATACTCAACAGCATAGTGTATTGCACAAAAGCAAACAAAAAAGGGGGTTAATTTTTTTTTTTTTTTTTGGGGGGGGGGGGGGGGGGGGTGGTGTCAATTCGCACAGGCACAGTGTATTGCACAAAAGCAAAAAAAAAATGAATATAAATTCAAATCATATAACCAATTCTAAGTTCTTTGACTACAGTTATTTTGTGTCAGAAACCTATTATGTGTCAAATATTTAATTACAATCCAATTTCAGACCTGTATCAAGCGTGAATATTGTGTCCATTTTTGCCCCAACTGTTCAGGGTTGGACCTCTGCGGTCGTATCCAGCTGCGCTCAGCGAAGCATTTTGTTCAACCTGCATTTGACTGGTCTTATATTGTCCACTCCTTGAATTACCACCTTGAGTTCCTCCTATCAGTATGGATCAAATGGGCTGGCATTTGGTTAAACAGTACCTCCTCCCTCCCATCAGTATGGATCAAATGGGCTGGCATTTGGTTAAACAGTACCTCCTCCCTTCCATCTTTCCTTTCCCTTTGTATATTGCTTACGTATACAATCTCACATACACCATTGGTTTTTAGCTGTGAAATACTGTTAAATTTTGGGAGATTGACTAAGTTCTAAAGGAGTAATGTCCCATTGTGCGACTGTTCTCCATCTATCTGTGATTCTACATTTGACCTCACCACTGCTTCTGCATAGGTCCCAGCCTCCCATACCAGCTCCTCTTTTGTTTCTGTTGTTGGTATTAAACAAAGACCTCCTATCCAACTTTTGTATAGCATTATTCGTTTTCCTGTTTCAAGATGTCCTTATCGTCCTCGATACTGTGGCACCAACTATGAAATGTTATCTAAGCGTGGCACCTACTATGAAATATTAACAAAGCGTGGCACCGACTATGGAATATTATCTAAGCGTGGCACCGACTATGGAATATTATCAAAGCGTGTAACCGACTATGGAATATTATCAAAGCGTGTAACCGACTATGGAATATAATCAAAGCGTGGCACCGACTATGGAATATTATCTAAGCGTGGCACCGACTATGGAATATTATCAAAGCGTGGCACCGACTATGGAATATAATCAAAGCGTGGCACCGACTATGGAATATTATCTAAGCGTGGCACCGACTATGGAATATTATCTAAGCGTGGCACCGACTATGGAATATTATCAAAGCGTGGCACCGACTATGGAATATAATCAAAGCGTGTAACCGACTATGGAATATTATCTAAGCGTGGCACCGACTATGGAATATTATCAAAGCGTGTAACCGACTATGGAATATTATCTAAGCGTGGCACCGACTATGGAATATAATCAAAGCGTGTAACCGACTATGGAATATTATCAAAGCGTGTAACCGACTATGGAATATTAACAAAGCGTGTAACCGACTATGGAATATTATCTAAGCGTGGCACCGACTATGGAATATTATCTAAGCGTGGCACCGACTATGGAATATTATCAAAGCGTGGCACCGACTATGGAATATAATCAAAGCGTGTAACCGACTATGGAATATTATCTAAGCGTGGCACCGACTATGGAATATTATCAAAGCGTGTAACCGACTATGGAATATTATCAAAGCGTGGCACCGATAATGGAATATAATCAAAGCGTGTAACCGACTATGGAATATTAACAAAGCGTGTAACCGACTATGGAATATTATCTAAGCGTGGCACCGACTATGGAATATTATCTAAGCGTGGCACCGACTATGGAATATTATCAAAGCGTGTAACCGACTATGGAATATAATCAAAGCGTGTAACCGACTATGGAATATTATCTAAGCGTGGCACCGACTATGGAATATTATCAAAGCGTGTAACCGACTATGGAATATTATCAAAGCGTGTAACCGACTATGACAAATATGCAAACGCACGATGACATGCAAAGCAAGTCACTTCCTCGATGATACACCTTTTTTGTCATGATTTTCCTAAACAAAACAAAAAAAACCCTGTAATTAAGTTAATTTACAAGACATCTATAACCAGCTCAATACCAAGTAACAAACTTACATGAAGTATGACAGTTTTAAATTACATATTTGGCCAACAGGTATACACATTTATTGTTATAAACAACAGGTGTATAATATACAATACCTGTTTAGCTATGTACAGCGATAAGGTAAAGACAACCATACGGTAACTATGGTATACACATGCAGCTATACCTTGTAATACCTATGTACATCCATACGTGGCTAACATTTGTAGTAACCGTCAGATGTCCGTCCTGTTTTCTTTGTACACCCACACGAGGCTAACTTTTGTAGTAACCGTCAGATGTCCGTCCTGTTTTCTTTGTACATCCACACGTGGCTGACTTTTGTAGTAACCGTCAGATGTCCGTCCTGTTTTCCTTGTACATCCACACGATCGAGGCTAACTTTTGTATTAACCGTCAGATGTCCG